GCGCGGGCACTCTCCGTTTGAGTGCACTTTGCATCCCAACGCCTATGAGTTGTATCAGAGTACTTTCCAGCCGAAACTATGGCGCTTGCATCTGGCAGGTGAAGCTGGCAATATGCGCCTGTCAGATCCTTACATGATACTATCTAATCAAAGAGTTACGGGTATGTTTGTCTACACCGCAATACATTCATTCCTACTACATGGTACACTTAAAGTGGATGAACTGGAGCGAAGCTGGTTGGTCTCCGCAAGCCGCGGGATATATTGGGGTCATTTTTTTGTTAGTAATGACTCACTGATAACATTGAGATGGTGCATTCCGTGTGATGTGGCGCAGCCTTGGGACTGAAGCTGTAGAGGACAAGTGACATAAGAGGTCACGGCTTGTCTGTACCCTTTGTCAAACAGTGTGAATTAGGGCAATCCCGAGAGTAGTTCTGGTCGGCTTTAACAGTGCACGAGTAGGGTTCACCTGTTCATACCACTTATACCAAGCGACGAGGGACTGTTGATGCACATAGGTAGTGCTCAACTACGGTTGCAGCTATACATATGTACGTAGACACAAGCAACTAACATCACTACCTCACACGCGTCACTCTTGCTACAGGGGTGTGATGCGGGCGACGGGCGGAGTTGCTTCAACCTGAGCACGCTGTATCTGACTGGTGGCCTCGAGGATTCAAAGGGGAACGAGATCATCCAGGATATGGGTAAAGCATTCGAGCTGTCTGCCAAGGCGTGCGATCTGGGTAGCAAGTATGGGTGTGTCAATGCGGCGCGTATGGTGATGACTACGGCTGTGGAGGGTGGAGATGCGCTGGCCGAGGAATTCCAGGAGAAGGCCAATGTTCTGCACAAGAAGGTGTAGGTAAATTAATCCACGAGAACCTTTGTATGTTATGCAAGTTAGTGTGTAGGGAGGAGAAGGAGTCGCACTTAGAAGTAGTCATATACGATTGAGTGTAAAACGGGTATCGCGCAGAGGTATGCCAATGCGGCGCGTATGGTGATCGACAACGGCTGTGGAGGGCCGAGAGGTGGTTGCGGAGGAGTCTGATGCTGTATGTGCAGACTAGTTTGGTGGCCATATGCATTGGAAGTGATATGGATAGTTAGTCAAGGCGTGCTTGCTTATCTGCCTGTCAGAATCGAGAGGGAGGTGGGAGAGGCACATGCTTAAAAGCTAGGTTGATATACTATATATACATTTGCCGGTATAGTCACATAGTCACATGCGTGGTTGTTGGTGTAGAGCACTCTAGCCGGCAGTGAGGTGAAAGGCTCATATAGTGCGCCAGCGTACAGATATGTCCACGTGTAACTCTGTGTGGTACAGATGAGCGTTTGAGTGGGGAGTGTATTCGGGACAGTGCTCGATAGTAAGTGTGCGCAGGTTGGGGGGGGGGGTGAAGGAGAAGAATGTATGGTGATGGGGATGCTTGTAGTTTAATGTAGGTGTAGTAGGCGGTCCAACGCACACAGAAGTAAGGGTAGGAATATTCTTGCAAGCTGCCCACAACACACAGGCCTGATGTAGGATGATGGATATAGGGATGTGGGGCCCTGCCGTGATACAAGGAAACAGCTCAGCGGATAGCCTTGCCGATGGTGTTAATAGCATAGATGCCAGACTATAGCATAGGCTTACGTGGGATGTGTAAACCTACTGCTGCGTGGGCATAAATCGGGACAGTACGGCGAGATCTGCAGAGTTGGGATTAGTATTTCCTCCAGGTTAATTTGTTGTGATACTTGGTGGGAGGAGTGCCGTAAACGATTGTGGCCAATTGGTCGTCGGGTCGAGTGGTCGATTTGAGGTGGTGAAGTGACTGGATTTGATCCTTCCAGTGCTCAGAGTGATCAAAAATGCGTATTGAAAACACATCACTCTGATCAGTAGCAGCCGACATATTGTCGATCTTCGAGTATTAGTACTGGTGTACCGACGCTCAGTGTAGTAGTGGTGTTCGCGGAGGCACTCGGCATTCAGTATGATTATTGAGTGGGGGTTGATCCAAGACTGGAACGTAGATCAATCTGCTATGGGTATCTCCGAGAACGGGCAACACATCAGAATCAGTGCATATACTGAACTTACATCACAGGATGACTGCTTATCGCCTGTGGTGTAGGATGGACAACATACAGTAGCAGGTCAACTTGAATACCTGTGGGAATGTTTTCAGACCGTACATATTCTGCTTCAGGACGACGAATCCGCGACTGCTGCGACCTGTATATACACACGAGATGTATTAAACTCTTTGAATGGGGTTGTGCATTAATAAAACATATCTGCTTTCTACGAATACTCGGAACAGTTTGGGGAGTACGCGAGTATTTAAATTACAATTATGTTTAATAATTATAATTATAATTCTCTCTCTCTCTCTCTCTATATATATATATATATATATATATATATATATATATATATATATATATATATATATATATATATATATATATATATATACTATATATATATATACTATAT